CAGGTTTCAGATCAAAATTCAAAAATATAGCTTTGCTGCAAAAGTGGGGTGCTATAGAAAAAAAGACACTAAAAACTCGATATCTCGTCAGAAACAAGCCAGGGGGACGAACTTTTTTTTACCACAGACATAGCTCACTATGGGCTACAAGATGCGCAAAACTCCGGCTGAAAAGCGCTCTGGCACCTGGGAAGGTTCCCTTGTTAGTTGGTCGAAACGTCGAAATAGTTATTAACAATTTCAATATTTTATTATTTTGATAAAACCAGAATTCGTCTTTTCATTTATTCTTATAATATTGCCCTTAACAAAGACTCTGCTTATTACTAATATTTTGAAGTTAAGAAATAGATGTAATTTGTTTTTCTTATATAAGAACATTAATGTAGTCTCGTTGAACTATTAAAATGTCGATAATCGTTCGTTTTCTAAATATTTTGCTCGTGCTTGAAAAATTTTCCATTTCATTTTTTCTTCTAAATCCGTAAAACCATTTGATGCAACAACGCTTGAAATACTACATTGAGCTAGTTTATTTAAAACAGCTTCATAAGCAATTCTATCATCAATAAGTAAAAATTCACGAAACCAAATGCATAAAATATCAAGAATCGATGAAATTGATAAACGTATTCCATCATTTTGTTCAATGAATTCACCACCATTTGGATACATATTTATATATTCAATTTTCGATAAATAAAGTAATATAAATGTTCGACATGCTGATGAAATAAAATTTAATTCAAATCGATGGGCTAGAATATGAAAAATGCTTTTTTTTTAAATAATTAATGACATTAATTTGAATGTTCAGGAGTTCATATATAGTTCGATACGATTCAAATGTGAGGAAGCAAAATTTCATTTAAAAAAATCCTTTGTTTAACTATCTACAATCTTACATATTTCAACTTATTCGAGAACAAAATACATATGTCTAAAATCTACAGCTTTCAAAAAAAAGTTTTTTATCAGCTTTTGTCCTACGCGTTTCAACTCTTGAGGAAGTTTTTTCTTAGTCTCTCAATTAGCTTGAATTAACACACGATAAAAATATATCGTTAATCATGTATTTTAGAAGTTTCACACTTGACTTTATTTGTCTCTGAATAAACATTATTGTTAATACATGACATTGCATGCCAATGCTGTTCATAGGTGAAATTGTAAGTGTAATTTTATCCTAATTTATGGAAATATTCATAAGGTTAAGCAGATGCATATCAGGCCTGTGAGCTCGATCCTAATCAAACCAGTTGAAATATACGTGCAAAACACAGAGAACTCTATTGTAGTGTCTTGTAACCGGGTCGAGCATAGATATTTGAGATCATACTCTCGATGTTCCAAAGTATTTTTACTTTTTCAAACTTGCTATTTATATAAAAACATAGGATTGAAAACCAGTTCGAGCATGATCGAATTAATAATTGTAACAGGTCACAGAGATAGAAAGCAATATTGTTTTTAGTAGCAGAACAGGTTTTTCATGAAAATGCATCGACAGTTGATGAGATACTATATGGCGAAGTAACTGAATATATGAAGAGAAGAATGAACTATCAAAAATATGAACATATATTTTCGTGTTCAAAAAAAAAACATTGATGTATGTATCCCAGAATATGGCGATTGACACCAACACAATGTTCCATTTCAGCTTCATCAGCAACAAACAAACATATACTTAGCGAAATTGATCGAAATTCTCTTTTTGTTACTATTTATGGAAGTAACTAAACAGTACACTTTTTCATACAAAGTAAAAGATTGAAAGCTGTATCATGACTGTGAAAGTATCTCTCTGATGTTGATTATCTCCGAACCGAGTTCGGATGCAAAAAGTCGTACTCATGCAGAATATTAATCCTTACTGGAATTGACTATGTAATTTTGTTCTACTTTTCTGCAAACAGGAGTTAAATCGACATATTCTCACATAGGTTGTTACGTTTTGTGAAGTCAACACGATCGATAACCTATTGTCCACTGATTTTTAAATCAAAAGCAATTTTAAAGTTGGAAAGATTCTCTCGTACGAACTTATTACCAAGAATGAGTAATATCGTCACATTATCATTATTAATTGTACATCGAAATTGTGGATATAAAAACTGAAGTAATTCAATCATTTCATTAGGTGATACATCAAGAATTTCAATTGAATCAAGATTTTCATCTTGAAAATACGATTGAAAAACTTTTGATCCAGCAGCTAATACACTTTTATCAACATGTAATTCTTTATCTAAATGATAATCTTTTATATATTTTTTACATCTAAATCAATGTCACATACCTTGAACAACAAGTATTAAATCACTAAAAGGATGTGATTGAAAGAAAAATTCTTCAGCTGAGTGTTTTATCATATGAATATCCGCATCAATAGTTTTCATTCGTTTTAATGGTTGATTTAAATTCATTTGTTTATTTTTATAATCACCATCAACATTAAATCCAGATAAAATTTCTGAAGAAATCATTGATAGAAGAACAAAAGAATGAATGCAGCGCCAAAAAAAGTATTCTTTTTTTCTATTTTATTTTTCTTTATGATTTTTTTCTAATAAACATGTACATGAATCGACGATTACTATCTTTACAGATTCATATTATCATTAATTCAACTCATGAAGACGATTTCTACATTTTTCAATAACTATCGTATCCATCGAGATGTTTATAATATTAATACAAATGCAACAATAAACCGACTAGAATGTGAACGAAATGTATGCGAAAAAGAATTACATAGATTAAAATATGGACTTCAGAATTTACTGAAAAACAAAACTTATAAAAATTTCAAAATACAAAAGACAAGCTGGATAGATCAATGTTGCTTGTGTTGTCGTCGATGTACTAACAATAGACATCGTAGTAACACATATATGAATAAGGATCACAATGGTTATGATGATGCGAGCCAATTTCCATTCTTTAGGTTAGATCATCATTATGATGATATAACGGATGATCAGAAAGTTTTTAGATAAGATTCTGTGATAAATTTTGCCTCAATTTTTGTTTGACAATAGGAAAATCATCTTTGAAAAATCAAAAAAAATTAATTTGAGCCAGAGATGGGCAGCTCCAACCATTTCTCGCTCCAGCTCCAGTAAAAATTTACTCGCTCCGCTCCGACTCCACTCCAGCCTAAAAAAATTAGCTCCAGCTCCGCTATAGCAAAAAGGTTTTTTCTAGTTTTCTGGAATCTTAAAGATATTCAGTGAATTTCATGTTTTAATTCTGTATGTATATAAACATACGCACGCAATATAGAAAAAAAGAGTATCAATATATTTAAGAAAAAACAATAATTAAGTTATTTTAGAAAAAAAATTCATCAACTTATTTGAGAGAAAAAGTAGTTGTCGATGTATTTAACAAAAAATCAATCATCAATCTATTTCAGCTGACTTGATTACATTATGAGGATTATTTACAATGACAAATAGACTAGCGAACTGTAGTAATTATCGCTAACACTTTAATAAAGTTAGCATTGAGAGCATATTCTTCGAGAGTCGAAATCAAACATAGAACAATGGACTCAATGAATGGTCAACCATTATTTCAAACACTGCCATTCATACAAAATGTAGGAATGACATATTCACTATAGTGAATAATTAATGGCGAGCTTTTTCCTCATTAATTCTCTTGTTTTTTTTTCACAGAAGGAAACTCATGTAAAAAATAACGAGCGAAGTCAGATTAAAAAAACTTAAAATTCGTAAACCATTAATTCACTTTTAATCGAAAATCGCTATAAAAGGTCAATATATCAGATAGCATTTCGATCGATTTCGTTCAGTTTTGGATAGGTCCTATCAACTTCGATTGAAATCTGTTAGAATTTGAAATACGTCAACTACAATCGATGTATATCGATCCTAATTAGATGAAGATTTTTTATAATTACACACAAAAACCAATACGAAACGATCCCTTTCATTGAATTTCAAACGATAAAAATCGGGGCCGAGCGAAATTATGTATAAAAATCTAAGTTACCGGTTACTTTCGACAAAAAGCTGATAAGAAGATGTACAAGTTCTATTGGTTTTCAATCATTATTTGCAAAGATTTTAATCTGATCTCCCTTCTAACTTTTTTCATATGGGAAAAGCGAAAAAAGGAGCGTATGGTCGGAGCTAGAGAAAAAAGGTCGCTCGGACTCCGCTCCAGCTCCACCTTTTCCATTAATTGCTCCGCTCCATGAAGCGGAGTTAGCTCCGTGGAGCCGCCGTTCAGGAGTCGAAGCTGCCTATCTCTGCCATCTATGTACTAGTCTATAAAAATAGAATCAATATTGCCATTGGCCATAACTCGATTATGATAATAAATGAAAAAAAGAACAATTATAGAGAAGGCAATGTCAATTAAGATTTGCAGAATAATGTTGGCCTAGTAGTAGAAAAATTTAAACAATATAAATAAAAATGAAACAGAAATAAAATAACATGTAAAAGAAAACAGAAAAAAAAAGAAACAATATTTTTCTCTCTAATCAAAGCAGCAGGTAACAAGTCCTAATAGAAATGACAAATTATAGTTTGGTCCATATGAATATAATAACTGATGTTATACAACAATAACAACGAGACAAAGAGTATAAAAAATAAGATATACTTCATATACTCAGGTGAATATGCATATATGGGACCATTTTTCTTATGCTGTATATCCTATTCATAATCAATGAGATATATTTGCTTAGATTCGTTTTTTTTTCGTTCTTCAACAAATAGTTTACCTCGTGAGAGATAAAATATTAAACTACAACCAGCATTCGTTTCTTCTTTTTTGCTTTATCATTATTACATATTGCTACACTCTTCAAACAAACAAATATATTTTGCTAATGTAATATTTCTTTTTTTGTTTTTCAACGGATTTGTATTGATTTTCTTTGAAACTTTTTATTTTTTTTAACAAGGGATCCACGATTTAATAATGAGACATTAGCATTTGTACAATACCTTGCACAGAATACTCCACCGCAAGCTCAACTTATTGAAGTTGAAGCAATGCGTCAGTATATGGAAGACATTCATCTAAAAATCAATGAAAAACTTCATGGAACATTCAAAGGTACAATAGAAGACAAAACAGTAAAAACTAATTCTACAGGTAGATTTCCAATGGTAAAAATTATTTCATAATAAAACACTATGCATTTCAGAAATACCTATTACAATCTATACACCAATAGATGTTAATAAAGACAAATTAGTTGTTTATTTTCATGGTGGAGGTAAAATAATAAAGATAAATAAAGTAAATTCATCTAATGTAGCTATTTATCAAACATAATAGGTTGGGTTATTGGTAGCCGAAAATCTCATCAAGCAATAGTTAATCTCTTATCTGAGTACATATAGACTTATCTTGATTCATTTTATTTATATTCTTATATAGTGTGACAAAAACAATTTGGATTTCTGTAGAATATCGTCTCGGACCTGAATATAAATATCCTATTTGGCTTGATGATGCATATGATGTTACTCAACACATTATTCAAAATAAAACAGATTACGGTTTATTTTCAGTCACAACATCTTTAAACATCTATTAATCATTGTTTTAGGTGTTAATTCAACAACTAAAATTGGAGTTGCCGGAGACAGTGCTGGAGGCATGATTAGTGCTTCTCTCTCTCGTTCATTAAAAGGCATCGATTTTCAAGTATAGATTCCTTCAATGATTATTAAACTCGATGATATTCATTTTTATAAATAGATTCTTATTTATGCTGCATTAGATGTCCTTGGTGAAACACCATCGTATAAAGAATTTGTGAAACCAATGTATTTTCTTACGCCTGAACTTATGAAATGGTATAGAAATTATTCGAAACTATGCATAATAAATAATGTCATATTTGTTGTTGAATTATTGAATAGGTTTTCAATACATGGATATCATAATTTGGAAGATATGAAAAATCCTCGAGTCTCTGCTCTACTCAATACAACATTTGAAGGTGTGCCACCATGTTTGTTCATAGTTGCTGATCTTGATCTTCTTCGAGATGGAAATTTAGGTATGAAGGAGAATAAATTAATAGATTTTACAGGAAGTCTAATTTTCGTCGTTTAGAATATCAGAAATTACTTGAAAAAGCTGGCGTCCAAACGAAATTAGTACTTATGAAAGGCGTCATTCATGGATTTCTTAGTTTACCAGGTAGGACCATAAAGAGATTTTTCTATAGAAGGATTTTTATTTTGCCATTGAAATTTAGGAATTTTTTCACAAACATGTGCAGAAGCATTTGATACTATTCGAGATTTCATGGCGTCAATTTGACAAAATACTAAAAAACCACATCCGTAAATTTTTTCTATATACATTGCGAAAAATAGTGTCTTGACGATAATAACTATTATATTGCTGCTTCTATAATGGTCATACTTTTTTTGTGTCTAATAACAGAATTAATTAATATAATTTTCAATTTTATTCAAATGCTATAATTATATAGTTTGAAGAGAATATTCATGTTGCAGTATGAAAACATATATAAGATGTTTGTCTATTAAATTAATAATTTTATCATCTAAATACGTGAAAAACTATTTGTATTAAAAAATGTATAAATTTTGAAGATGTATAGATATCTGATATACAAATAAGAAACAAGAATTACCAAACTAATCATTATGAAAAGGTTTATAAGAAGGAGAGAAGTCAATGTTAACAAATTCGAAATTTATATCCATATTCAAATCCAATTGATACTTCATTCTTATTATAAAAAGATTTTTGTTGATTAATCAGTTCTAAACTAACGTATTTATTGTGAATATAACGATAATTAATATGATTAATAAAAGTATTAAATTGTGAATTACTTTTTTTGATGATATGGAGCATTATATGAACATCTTCAACGATCTCTCTAGCTATTTGTTCCCTAATCGAAATAAAATGTTTAATCGTTATTTTCATTATTATTTTATTATTATTGTTTTCTATATGTATATTATTGTTTTCTCTTTGATTATCCTTTGTATACTTTTTATTGAATTTTATATTCTACATCTAATACTATATAAAAGATTTATTGAACAGTAGTATCAAGTTCATTGTTTATAAGATCTCGTTATAATATATGAACAACTTTCTTATTGCATTTCTGAATGATTAAATACAATGATGAAGAAGAAATGTGTCTGACAATAGATGAAATAAAACAATCTCCCTGTGATTAGAGTTCGATGGTTTCGATTCTGTTTCCCAAATATCATATAGAACTGAAACTGTTACACTACAAATTTTAGTACTTAAAGCAAACGATATGATACATATATACTGAAATCTTTACTCTCAAGAATGAAAAAATGAAGATTTCTCGACATAGACTTAAGAATTTTTGTATCCATCTAATCATTTAGCGGTTCCAAGCAATTTAAAAAAATCGGTTCCAGTTTTTTTGGAACTGCCGAACTCTACCCGTGATTAACAACAACTAAATTGTGTTTCTCCTTTTAACCCAGTAGAAATTGCACTAACAGCTTTTTAGTAAATTATCGGATAGAACAATATATATCAAATGAAAAAAAGACTTAGTTAGTAGAATTACAGAAGCATATTGGATTCGAGATAATATAAGTTTTTCTCTGTAAAGAATTTTGTGTTTTTATGAAAAAAAAAATACATATATATAATCTTTCAAATCTACTAATTATTAGTTTATTTATATTCATTCTAAAGAGAAAAAGTTTTCAAGAATTCTAAATAGAAATAAAAAAATTAATAATTGATTTGAATTAAATGTTCGTCAACGGCTAATGGTAAAATTGTAATTGGAAAAATCGCGTTTTCAATCTTATCATTTTTTTTCTTAAGATCATAAATATTTGATTTGATTAATTTGATTTCTTGTTGATTTCCATCTTCAATTTCAATAAATTCATCGATACGTTTTTGTAATTGATCAATATGTTCATGTTGTTTTCCGACTATTTCATTAATATATCCATCAAATTCTTGACATTTTTGATCATGCAAACGATCAATTATTACATAACAATCAATTCGCCATTGTTTTATCTGTTGATGAAAGTTTTTAATTACTTCCTGAATATTAACTGTTTTAAATCGATAATTAACTTCATGAATTTCGTTTTTTAATAATTTTAATTGAGAAATAATTAAATCATTATGTTCCCATAAATGTTGATAACAAAGATCTTGTTTACAACATTTACATAATGCTCGTGATCTGCGTCTACATTTATCAACAACGCATTTTTCAGACATTGATTGAAAATTTTAAAAATCCGCGTATTTTGTTTTTTTTTCGTTGGAAGTTTATGAGAATGTGATGAAATAAGAAAAAGAGAGACTTGCTTTTTTCTTAGAGAAAAAAAGAGACAGCGAGAGAGACTATTTGTTTGAAATTGTTAATTATTGACTATCGAAATGAATTAAAAAGTAGTAGATGTTTGTTGTACGGTAGTTTACATTCAATCAAAAAGAACGAGTTTATTTTCTATGAAGAATATTTTTCGAATCAAGAATGATAAAAGAAAAAATTAACAAAAATTCTACGATATGAAATGATCTTTTGAATTCTTTTGTTATTATTTTTTTTCTCTCACAATCAATATTGAAAACTTTTTTTTTTTTCGTTCTTTTTTTTATAATGAAATTCTTGATTTGTCTATCCTTTAATGCTTACATGAGCTTTATTATAAAATTAAATCAAATCATACTAATGATAATTCATTTAAATATTTTTTAAGTAGATATTCTATATGCAGAATAATACACCAAATGTCTCATGTTTTCTACAATTTGAAAATTTCGCTTAGTGTAATGAATGATTTTTTTGCAACATAGCAAATAATAAATGGAATTTTTGGATCTAAAAATTGTTAAATTTCTAAGTCTTTGTGGATGGATTTGACAAACTTAGAATACAAGTGGTTAGAGAACCCATAAAGTTGTTCAAGGACGAATAGTTCTATAGTTTCACTGTACTTTAATAAGCAACATGCAATCAATAAGGCTTATCCTTAGTAATATTATTTAGCATTGAAATAAAATTCAATTTACATAGTACAGATTTTTTCTTAAGAACAGATAATACTTACAAATTCGAAAAGTATATAAGAGTGATTTCAGACAAAAATGAGACTTGACTATTTCTCATTTGAATTAGATTCTTTACAAAATTTATTATTCCGAACAAATTCATTTACCACGCATATATGTCAAGATGCTGATTCTTTAAGCTCACACCTAATTAAAGTTTTTAACTGATTAGTTAATCAATGAAGTTGTAATTAATGAATAATTTTCCAAACTGATGACGGAAAAGTCTAAGGATTTCACGATAGACTCTATCTAACAAACAACGTCTACAGTAAAATTTTCAACCCAAGAAAAAGAACTTCGTAAAAAAACCAGTTTTGTAGAGAATTTCTCATGTTCAGAGCCAAACATTTTTTTGTCATCATTTCCAAGTTCGCAAGAAGGATTTGCACTATTTAGAATCAATTTTGAACTTCACATTCAATGAAAAAAACAGTTTTTTTTTGTTTCTTTATTTGCACTCTATCACGATTCCAGGGGATCATTTTTACAGAGTAACTCGAGTAACTCAACATACATTTATTTCATAAAATTCGTTGTACGAACGTTCAAAATTCAGAGAGACAAATATCTGTGAACTCCTCTTACTAATGAATGAAATAGTTCATATATGAAACTTGAAAGCTTTCTATTATTAATACACAGAAACATTTAGTGCAATATATCATAATCAACTCGAAACGAACGTACATTTCGTTAAATTCTCATCATTGTGACGCACAATGTTTTTAATTATCCTGCGCTGGTACGACTTTTTGCAACCTCATTCGGATCGAAGTTAATCGATATTCGGTAGATACTTTCACTGTCAGAGTACAGTTTTCAAACTTTTATCTTATGTAAAAAAGTGTACTATTTAGTTTCTTTCATAAACAGCAACATAAAAGCCATTGAATCAAATGATTCAGGATTTACTTGATATCCTTCTGCTTCTAAAATCCTATTGATTTCGCTAAGTATAAGTTTACTTGTTACTGACGACGCTAGAATTGAACGCAGTATTGATACCAAACGTTCTAATTGTGAATACATACATGAATAGTTTTTTCATCGTAATAATACATGTTTACCTTTTTGATAATTCATTTTCCTCTCCATTTATTCAATCACTTGGCCATATGGTTCATCATAATCTGCAGATAAATTTTCATTAAAAACAAATTCTTTTAGTAACACAACATCGCTTTCCACTTTTGTTACCTATTCCTAAGTACAATAAATTGTTCGATCATAATCGAACCGGTTTTCACACCTATGCTCTTATAGAAGACACACTTTGAAAAAGTAAACTTATTTTGAAACTTCAAGATCTTATTAATTGCCTTCGGCACTCGGAGGTCCACTCGAGGCTGAGCCAGATGCCGGGTACCGGACCGAGATGCAGAACACTACATGTTGTGTCTCTGAAAGTAAAACTAAGTCCATGAAAGGACTTGTAATGAATAAATGAAATAATTAACTTCTTTAATTTTTGCTTCGAGAAAAAAATGTAATTTATTTTGTTTTGTTTTATTTTATTTTTATTTCAAAAGCAATTAACAAATATTTTTAACAATGAACAAATAATTTTCTTTGTTGTCTTTCATAATATTCTTGATCAAATAAAGTCATAATTGCACATTGAACATCAATGTCAATTTCTTCTAAATACCAACGTTGTTCCTTAGCTAAAACCATATCCCAATGACCATGATATAAAAGCATACAATTAATAAATAAACGTTCATCACGTGTCATTAAACGAGATGATTTTGTTTCAGTTGGTATCCAATGTCGACAAAGAGCTTCTTCTTTACCAATACGAATATATGGTATTTCATTATTAATAAAACCACATCGTCTTGTACTATCACCAATAACAAATTGCCGACCAAATTGATTTTTATAATTTGTTGTTAAATATTCAAGTGAAGATTTTTCAAATAATTGTACAAAACACATACCTTTTGATTGGAGAAAAATATCCAATGAAAGAAATTTTAATTGAAAATCTTGTGTTTTGAGATTTGGTAAACGTTTTGACATAAAAACACTACCATGAATTGAATTCCAAAAGAAATTTTCACGTGCTTGTTCACTTATAATATTATAAGCATGAGCTACAGATGAATCTGAAGAAAAACATCGGATGCATGATGACGGTAAAAGTAAATATTGATGACAACGACTATGAATATCATTTAAATTTATATAAATTTTCTTATCATGAGAACATTTAATATATGGAAAAATAAATGAATCAATTTGAACAAAGCCACCAGATTCCTCAACAATAGATAGATCAAGCTAAACAATAAAAAAGAAAGATTCATATAAATATTATTTAATAATTAAAACAAAAATCACAAATATATCGTACACGTTTTTCGAAAAATAATCGTCGTTGTGCAATATTTGTTGATGAAATACATAATGAATTCGATTCATTAGTTGATTGTCGATTTTGTCTATAAGAAAAATTATTTAGTTTTGCTCTCAAATACTATTCTTATAACTTTAACATTTTAAAAAATTTACCAAAACAGAGGCAAAATGATTTTTTTATAATTATTCTCAAGCTTGCAAATCTTTCGATTAAAATATCAATGTAAATAATATTTGTGTATATGTATATATATATGCATACACACTTTCTCATGGAGAATAACAGTCCAGTATAGACTTTGCTAGTCTTCGTCCCGATAATCACTATTTCAGTAGTGTCGACTTAGAGAAAAATATTTCAGATCCATTGTTTTATCCAATGTGGTAGCCGAGGAAGCAACGCTCCTTCGACGAAGATCAGATTTGTCCTCTAGAAACTTGTGGTGCTTGTACTATATACTATGTGTTTGTACTCCTAACAATAATTATACCATTCTGAAGTTTTAAATCACTTCTCTGGAAGAGAAAACTGGGATAAGAAAAACACTTTTCAGATCGCTAAAAAATCCTCAAAAAATTATCTACATTTTTTTAATTCTAGTTCGAACAACTGTTGTTTTTGCGTAGTCCTGATTCAGTACATCTCCAGTTCTATATCAAGAAAAATGGATCTGAAAGATATTTGATAATGAAAATGAAATGAAGGTCACCTTTATTTTAAAATTATTGACAAAATGTTTCCATAGTAAGGTCATTAAGTGGTCTGCTAATATCAACCTTTTACGTTTTCAACTCTGTCTGTAAGTTTCATATGACTTTTATTCACTACTATTTTGTATGCAAATCAAAATAAAACTTGTTTACTATGGATGAATTCAATAGGCTTGCGATAGAATTTTGTTCTTTCTTTTTTTGAATGACCATAAACATATGCACCGAATACATAAATATATTCTCAATTCGAGATATTTCATTTCGAATACTGATTTTATCAATGCAATAGTCTGTTAGAAAAAGTTTTCTCCATGTCTAAATATGACAAGTGAAATGTATCACAAGAAAATAAGTCTTTTTAAATAAAATGATTTACTTTTCAACTTGATTTAAAACTAATTTTTCTTCAATTGTCCAACGTGATTTAACTTCTTGTCTCATTGTATCAAGAATTTGTTCCCATTTTTGTGTATTTGAATCATTTGTTTGAAAAAATGATGTCGAACAATCAAGTATACCAAGAAGACAATCAAGTAAAGCAACACTTAATAATCTATTCGACCATTCTGAATGGTTTTCTGGTATAATATCAATAGTTGATGATAAAGAATTTATAAGTCGATCATAATAAACAATTTCAATTGATGTCATTTCAAGAATAGGTAAATTTTTTACCATATCTAATATAGGACCTATACGATTTGATTGATGTTGATCAAGTACATTTAATGCATATGAAAATCGAATATATGGAACATAATGATTATTTGATAAACTTTAAAAAAAAAAGAAAAAATAAATTTCAATTCATATTATTTCTATTACACACCGAAAAATTATTGGAATACGATATTGATAAAACGTAAGAAGACCATAATGTTTTCTATGTGAGGGTAAATCGATTGGACGTAATGGTGATAATTGTATTTGTTGAGAACAAGATGATTTAGTTAATAGAATATCATTTAATTCATCATCAAAATTAAAATCATTAGTAGTTTCTTCACAAAATAAATGACCTTCACTTTCAATAAATTCAAACGAGTCATTACTTATATTAAATATATCCATTTTCGTTTAATATC